GCTCCTGAAGATTTTATTGATATTGTTCTGTTTCCGACAATCATATTGGATTGTCGTTGTGATTTTTCAGGTGATTGCTGGCTTGTGGGTCTTGTCTATTGTGGGAAATTGGTGCAACTTCTTGACACTTTTCTACATCGGTATCGGAGTTGCCTTAAAGTGCTTTGCCCCTATGTGCTCCCCTCCTTTATCTTATATTTAGCATTGTGATTTTCTGATATACTTTGATGTTTTTGCAAAACAGTCTTCGTGCTACTTCACACTGTACCTGTGCTTTATGAGAAATACGAGGACAAGGTCGATCCATTTTCCGAGAAAGCAATGCATGAGATTAAGAAGCAGTATGCAATCTTTGATGCGAAATGCCCGTCCAGCTCAGTTGGTAGAGCACAAGGCTCTTAACCTTGAGGTCATGGGATCGAGTCTCACGGAGGACATTTCATAATTCAGAGGTCTCTCACGGAAGCTGTTCTCAACCTGACATTGGGGCAACCTACTATCATACCTCCTCTTACCCCATTATCCCATTACATATAAGAAAAATGGTCAACTAATTTATTTATGCAGTCTTTGATGCAAAAGTTCTAAGTAGGATTCCAAGGGGAGCATTGAAAGAAAAGAAGGATTCAATTATCCCAATACATCGCTGTTGGTAGGTTCCGACATACATACGGTAGATGTGTTCACAATGCTGAATATGGGATCCTATTTTAAATACGGTAGAAAAGAAGGATTAGTGCATTGTACATTGGGTTCAATCTGCCTGGATTCACTTTGCTTTGAGTTTCCTGAAAGAAATGGTGAAGTGGATAATATATCTTCAATATAACCCACCAGAATTTTAGAACAAACTTTGAACATGAGAGGAGAAGTTCACTGTATCGATTTCATCAGTTATAATTCTCCGGTAGCAATTTCTATCGTTAGGAGATTATTGGTTCTGACGATCACCATCTGCATGCTAAACTACTCAAGTTCTTAATGAGAACAAAAGATTGCAGATGTGAAACTTGAGAGTAGATAATTCTCCAATTAAATGCTGTTGGTGATAACTACTACCTCCCGCTCAAAACGCCTAATGCTGCTTCATCGACGACTAGGGGTTCATTGGTTGCAGCAAGGACAGAAATAATTTTTCTCTCCATCCTCTCCATGGTGATGCCGGTTGATTCAACCAAACCACCTCCGAACCATTTGCTCTGACGTGAAGCCATCCCCGGACCAGAATATTTTAAAACCCAAAGTTCCATTTTTCCTGAATTTTCTTTTCAGAAACCACTTCTGTTCAGACTTGGTATACGCATGTATACCCCGTTCTGTGTTTATATTAGATGGTAACTTTTCAAGCCGATTTAAATGGGTTGAAAGAAGCAACGTTTCCACAGAAATGAGTCATCGGAGAAGGGAGGAAGAGTGGAATGAAAGGAGCGATGTTTCCAACATTATTTTTCTATTTATAAGATTCGAAGCTAAGACCTCGTTAGCACCTAGATATTCAGTGGTCAAGAAAATAGGCATTGACCCTGCATGAGTAAACCTGCAATTCCAAGATGAATATTGCATTTGGCCAAAGTAAAACATATGATCTTCATTCTCTCTGTTGCTTCTTTTACAGTTTCCTCGTAAAATCAAAGACAAACAGAATCGATGAAGGCAATTTCTATTAAGCTATGTTGGATTCAACTTAATGGCCTATCAACATGCTACATTAAGCATGTTATAATTTGGTTGATGGTACTTGTACAAGTTTTCTAGGCATTCAATTTGTATTGCAGCTACAATGAAATAGATCGTCAAGAAGTATACCCCAGAGAATTGACCTGAAACGTGTTTTCCTGCCCCGTACTATTGATCCAAAATAGAGATGATATGAGAAAACAGAGGCGGTGTCATCTCATTAAATCCAAGAACACAAAGCCATTCCAGAGGCTGTGTAGGAGCATAGATGACAATAGATTCCTCGACCGAGCGAAGATGACACCCATCACCATTCCGAGAAAAATAAGTGGCAACATTCTCTGTACATTAAAATGTGCCAGAGCAAAGGCAACTGAACTCACGAGTATGGCGCACCAAACGGGCATGTACTTTGTCAATGAAGGGAGAAGGAAACCACGGAAAACAATTTCCTCCCATACAGGAGCACAAACTGAGACTACTACTGCATATAGTGCCATGGCTACTGGATCCCTCGCTAAAATTGACTGCTCGACACTTGAAAGGGTTGCGGGTGTACAAGGCATAAGGGGCAATAAGCTGAGGTTGAACTGTGATAATCGGTTGACGACTGGAAACATGAGGCATCCTAGCACAACATCAAAAAGCCACTTCCCTCTCAAGTTAAATTTAAACCAATCTGATGGTAGGGGATGAAACCGAGACAGACAGCGGTGGAGTATCGCAATACCGGCAAGGCCTTCAGTTACATCGGTCACGAGGCTGAACAAGGCTTGTCCTCTGAATGTTAAGGATTCCTTGCTGAACCCTGACATGTGAGCAGCAAAAGGAATCATCCAAGACCCGATGAACCAGAATGCAGCTACCCAGAGAAGCATAACCTATGCAAGCAACAAAAATATTATTATGCAACTGATTGACTCGTTTGTAATTCATCCAGAGTTTGAATGAGACTGTCATACAAGATACTGTTGCTCAGTTCAATCCATCTTTATAGTTTCTAGAGGAAATGATTAGATTGGTTCGTGCATGTAATTCATCTAAGTAAAACAATCTGATCATTTCAAGTAATGAAAACTAACAAATCAACCTGCAGAATGGTCTCTGCTGTCCATGGTACGGTCCACCTGCTACCAACAGCCCCCAATCCAGCATCAGCAGCCTGCAAAGAGATTAGCAAACAGGTTGACATATTTGAAAATTCCGCACTACACTCAAATTGTATCCCTTAAAATTATAATCTTATCTACATTAATAATCCATTTGAGTTTCTTAAAAGACAAAAATGAAAAAATAAAATAAAACATCTCGGTCTCAATTTAATCACTTGAAATGAAATAAATGAGAGAAGTAGGATCACCGGCATTGTATGTGTTAAGATATAGTGTCCACAAATGAGCAACATTCAAATTGCCTCTGATGGACGTAAATACAATCCAAGACTAAACTTTAGTTAACAAATTGATTGTTGAGACCAATGAAGAGACTGATTGTAATAGACTCTTGCCGATAACAGGAAACAGGCATACAGATTAAACTGAAAGTACTATCTACTGCACATGCAAATAAATAAACATTAGAGGTTCATTAACCTGAAACAATTAAAGGAAAATATTACCTCCTGGAGTGTTGATTTCCAATCTCTTCTGCCAGCACTAGGCTTCTTGAACTCGGGTTGTACTAATTCTTCGGACAGAAAATGTTCAATATGTTCAGATTTTGGGTTTTCAGGTGAGAACCCCTCATGCCTAAAGCATGAAATTTTCCAGTTCTGAAAATTAAAAAATAAAACCAAACCAAAAACACCTGTGAATTAATAGTAAAGATGGCATAGTTTCAATAATATAACCGCTATAGATGAGATGCTCAGTTGAACTCCAAAACTCAACCAATTAATAAAGCTACTAAAATTTCATATCAAGGCAAAAATAGACCAAAACCAATCAAGTTTCCAGATACATAATTCCTCTTCCTCCATTTTCTCACCAACCAAGCAGAACCTAACTAACTATAATGCAGCTTCAGGGCCAAAAACCAACTTTTAAACAAAGCTTGCATTTAGATTCCAATTTTCTAACTTCTTCCTCCATTTTCTTGTCAGGCAAACATAACCCGTTTCAAAATTCCAACGTGGGATTCTCAAAAACCAAAATTTAACATAAGAAAGAAATTAGCGAAACAGAAAACATAATGCAGATCACAAAAATGCTTATGCATTAATCTAACCTTATTTGAGAGCTTGGGAATAGGTTGAAAGATCCGAGAGCTTTGGTCAAGAGAAAAGGAATGGGGTCGGCTCGGAACCCGAAATTTGAAGAGAGGAGCAAGAACTGGGCGCTGAGAGAGGGAGTGGGAACAGTAGGAACTCAACATGAGGCCCTAATTTCAGTACCTATAATAATTCGCATTAAAAACGCACAATTTTACATGTAATTTGGGAATTGTAAATCAAAATCCCTAATTTGAGATTTTTCGTCTCGATTCGAGTTTGGTAGAGTGGTTTTTTCTGGTACAGAGGATTTCAGGAGTGTTTGGAAACGAGTAATTTATTATTCTAATGTTTCGGGAAACTTCCACACACCTTTCTAAAAAATTTAATTGCGTTCTGTCCAAATATCAATTGGGTAAAGTGTATGAGAGCTCCCTAAATGATGCTTAAATAATGATTTTAACTATTTAACTTTTCAAAGTTATAAAATAGTCATTAAATATATCAAACTACATGATGATTACCATCTATACATAATGATTACCATGACATTTTACGATCATAAAGTTCAAGAAATTTAATGATTATTTTATAATGATTCAATAAATTTAATGAATATCTTGTAACACAATGATAATTTCATTGATAAATTTAATAATTATTTTATAAATTTTAGAAGTTTAATTACTAAAAAGATTATTTTTTTTATTAAACTAAGGTAATTACAAAGTAATATCTATTTTAAATAGTCTCAATTATTTGACAATGAACGCTTAATCACTCTGCTGTAGCTTCTGATGCTCAAACTTTGAATAGATAATCGAAAATTTAACCATTTCTACCTGTCTTCATCTACAATATTCCCTCTCTTAATCTACAATACATCATAGTCGAGCTAAAAAGTGCATATTAGTCAAATACTCTGCCGCAGTTTGATGCAATCTTGGTCCATTTCTATGGAAGGGGCAGGAATAGACTACCTACTAACATAGTTTCCGAGGGCACAGTTCACGATTCCGGCCAGGAAACCGGGTGATAACATGTGTAAATTAACAAACAAGTCGGGACATGAATTCGGAGCACCGAACAGAAGATATGCAAGTTGCAATTCAGATTACTTCCGCCGCCGGTTTCCGACAAGCTCCGGGTTGCCTTTTCTCATCATGGCAATGAACTCGTCGTAGTTGATTCTTCCATCCTGCAGGGAGTAAAATGTACACCAAACATGAAGATCCCGTTACAATTGGAATGTACTTCCATAGCACCAATTGCAATAATTTCATTTAAATACCATACATATATACATACACATTAGGAAAGAGATAGAATTAGCATACCTTATCTGTGTCAACTTCAGCAATGATCTCTCTTAATGTTTTTTCATCTTTCATATTATACTTCCGAAGGGCCTGTTCAAGCTCCTCCATCGTTATGTACCTAAACCGAGTTGAAACAAATATACTCGGAAATCACGACGAGGCTAAATGATTCGGTTTGTAAGAAAACTGTTATATACTTAAATATAAGAAAATGGTAAGACTGATTTACCCGCTGTTGTCTTTGTCAAAGTGTTGGAAGGCAGTGTATAAGCGTTCTTCCCTTTCTATTCGATTCATGTGCATTGTAGCTGTTATGAACTCGACATAGTCAATCGTTCCATTTCCGTCAACATCAGCCTGGAAACATACCGCTTCCATTAAAAAGCACAGTGATTATAAGGCAGGATAATATAAAAGAGGACGGAAACATACCGCTTCCATTAGTTGCCACACTTCAGTCTCGGAAAGCTTAGTACCAAGTTTATGAAGGCCAGCTTTTAACTCCTCAAAGGTGATTGTTCTACTGTTATCAGTGTCCATGGATTTGAACATCTCCTTCAAACCTATGATTTCTTCTTCAGATAGATTTTCTGCAATTACCTGGAGGAAGAGAAAGAAATAAGAAAAATGGACGAAGACGATGACGATTATGTTGCTGCATTGCTACCATCAACTAAATAGCCAGAAAGTAAAAGGGACATATTTGGCTTGTTCTCTTGAAAATGGATCCATAAAATCCTTTGCATTCCCAGCTTTCAAACTTTTCGGTTAAAACACCGAATATGGGTCACTCCAACTCAGATATGAGCGCCAGGGACAGGTTAGTGAACCAGAGCTTCATTATGTTATAATTTAATGGCTCATCCCCAAGTACAGTATCTTCTTTTATTACATTTTATACATGACGGGGAAAGCAATTCACCTTCAGAGCAACTTTCTTGAATTTGTTCATTGCCTTGAATTGCTTCATTCTAGTTAAAATGGCAACATCAAGGGGCTTATCAGATGCATCGCCATCTTCACGCATCCATGGATGATCTGCAGTACTGAAGCTTTATTTCTTTTTTCACAGAATTGCCAATAAACTTTTTGTGAGACAAACAAGAATTCGGAATCTGAATTTTACAGCCAAACTTACTTAAGACTTCAAATGCTGAAAGACGTTCCTTGGGATCTTCTCGCAGCATCTTCCTCACAAGATCTTTGGCACAGTCGGAAATAGAAGGCCATGGATCTGATAAGAAATCGATATGTCCCCGAAGAATAGATTCAAAGATACTCTGTTCAGATTCTGCATACAAAACCAAAAGCAAAAACAAGAGACCCTCTCACTTATCCACAACATAGCAATGTTAATTACAAATTAGCTCTTATTTCATACATATGTTCAAACTCCTACGAAAAGGTATATAGTTATGACAGTATTGCGTTATTATACGAGAATCACTCATGTTCATAAGAAACAATAGTACTACCTCCATCGAATGGCGGCATCCCACTGAGGAGAATGTAAAGAATCACCCCGGCGCTCCAAATATCGACTTCGGGTCCATATTTTCGGCGCAATACTTCCGGAGCTACGTAATAAGCACTTCCGACAAGACTCTTGAAAACATCTCCTGCATTAGCAGAGAAAGTTCGGCATACATTCATGCTCGAGATCGAATAACATAGACAAGTTCGAGATATGCAAAGTGTAAACCACAAATGCTCACCTGGCTTGAAAAATACAGAGAGCCCGAAATCGGTAGCCTTCAATGGAGAATCCTCGTCCTTACTCAAGAACAAGAAATTCTCAGGCTTCAAGTCCCTATGGATCACCCCCATGGAATGACAACTATGCACCACCATCAAGATTTGTCTACACAAATTAGCGGCCTCCATTTCTGAATAATGACCTTTCTCTATAATCCGATCAAACAACTCCCCTCCAGCACACAGTTCCATGATCAGATTCACCGAGTGCCGATCCTCATAAGCTCCCTTCAGCTCAACAATATTCCTATCAACCCCATTTACTTAAAACCTTTAGAATTATCAAAAACTAAACAGAATTTAGTGAAAAAGGTTTGTTTTGGAGGGTAAACCTGTGGCCGGTTAGATGATGCATGATCTGGACTTCATGGCGGATGTCTTCGATATCATCGCGGCTGATAAGCTTACGCGTGGAGATTGATTTACATGCGAACTGCTGCTGAGTTTCATTGTGTGTCACCAAGTAGGTAACACCGAACTGCCCGCGGCCGAGCTCGCGGCCGAAGATGTAAGTAGACCGGATGTCCTCCATCGGACGGCCGAGAACACGGCCGATGGGTGGAATGTTGGGGGTGGCGAGGCGGCTTTTGGAGGAGGCGGAGTAAGGGTTGTGGTGCTGGTGGGTTGAATATTTTTGGTGTCTTGACGATGAAGGGACGGCAGGTTTGGCGTTGGCTCCATTACGGTGGCTACAGCCGGGATTAGAGTCTGGTCGGGACCGGTCATCGGCGGTGGGGAGACTGTTGCGATTACCCATTATTGAAAAAAGTACTGAGTTGGGGCAAGCGAAGGAGGTGAGTCAGAAGGGAATATATTTGTGTCTCTGTGTTGTCGGAAAATTAGAATATAATAAATTTTGTAATTGGTGAAAGAAAGAAAAGGGGGAAGAATGTTTTGACTCCCTCGGAAATGACTAAAATCAAAATGGGCTTGGATGGGACGGTTTAAGTAGAGGTTTGATTTCGACCAACGATTTAACCCATGCTATTAATTAGCGTAAAATACACAATTGGTCCTCTTACTACAAAATGTTACTTTATTAAGTCCCTATACTATTAGAAATTACAAAATAGTCATCTTACTATTTATTATGTTACTAACCGTACTTTTCCGAAAAAATTGATAGTTGTCTAAGTTGAACGTTAATATGATGACTGAGATATGATAGTCATTTGAGATTTTGAGACCAGAGTTTATCATATCACAGTCACTAGGTTAACGTTTAGCTCAAAACACCGTTAATTTTTTAATAGAAAATGAAAAGTTTGGAATATAATGAATAGTTTGATAATCACTTTATAACTTTTAATAGTCGAGAGACTCAACAAAATAACGTTCTATAGTTGAAAGACCATTTTATAATTTTCAATAGTCGATAAATTTAATAAAATAATATCTTATAATCAAGAGAATATTTATGTACTTAACCCAAAAAATTAATATAATTTTTTAATTGATATTTTATATATAGAATAAAGATATTTGTGTAGAAAAAAATTTCTTTTAAAGACTCTTTTTGTTATTTTTGATAGAAATCAATAAAAAATAAATGTTAAATTAAAATAATTTTTAAATAAATATATATATATATATATTTACAAAAGTTATTTTATCTAAAGAATGTCGAATAATGACGAAATGAAATAGGAGTTGATGACAGTGATTATAATAAAGATGAATTAAAACTGTAATAGTTATAATGTAAATTTTAAAAGTTATATGATCAAAATATAAATATTTTAAAATTTTAGAGACTAATAATGTAGTTTACCCTAGAAACTAAGACATATAGTATGTGAACAATACGACTCTAAACTCCGAAACTAACCGGCGAACGTTTCACAGTTTCACACTCTTAAAACTATTCGATTTTTAAATTCTTCTCCAACTAATTCCAATTTGTTCAAAGTTTGAATCTTTGCTTATTGTTTGTTATATGTATGTATGGTTATATTTTATTCTCTGTTAGTAATTTAGGGTTTGGTCATTTGAGAGTGTTGAACGCTGATACTTATTTTATCATCAAACGATGGTGCTCTCGGACTTTTTTCCCGGCGAACCTTCCGGTTCTGATGACGCTGAGCTGGACTTCGGCTTTTCTTTTAACGACAGTAATTTTTCCGATCGGGCCTTGAGGATTGAGGTCGTTCCGGATTTGCCGGAGGCTAGATCCGACGGAGACTGTTGCTCGTCCATCGCGGATTGGGCACGTGATAGAAAGAGGCGGAGAGAGGATTTCAAGAAAGAAATCGGTTTGTTCTTTCTACTGTAAACATTATTAGTGCATCCTAGTACCTGTGTTTGTTTTAGGCTTTGACGATTTCTTTTTGTGTTCCGGTCTTGCAGATGTTTCCGTGCAACGTGAGGAGAAAATATTGAATTGTAACTTGCAAGACACTGAGGATGGCGAAATGGATGAAAATCAAGATGAAGATGCCGCGGCAATGACTGAAGAGTCTCCTTCTGGTGTTGGATTGAATTGCAATCTAATTGGTGACTAGTAAATTTCATCAAATAAAATGCTTTTTTTAGTTAATCTTGATGTATTGTCGTTTTCTTCCTTGAAATGCTATGCTCCGTTTCTTCATAAGTTGCTAAAAGAACAAAACAAATGAGTATCATTTGAAGTCGTATTTGACTGGAAATGAGCAATTGGGTAGAGTAAAATCTTGGATTCTGTTATTCAAGAAAGTTAATTTTGTATCGCAAGGAATGGAACTTGACACACAGATGGTCTTTTGTAGGGAATGATATGGTTAAGGGCAATGATTCATCTTGGAATATCGATTGTTCGACGGTTTTAAGAGTCACTATCTTGCATGTTAGTTCTCCAATTTTAGCAGCAAAAAGCCCCTTCTTTTACAAGGTAAGGGAATCCTGGTTGCCGGTTGGTTGGTTTTTTCCTTGTTACCGATCGTCGTACTTATGGTTGACATACTGATTTATGCCTCTTTAGTACAGTTGATTTATGCCTTTCTTCTTGTTTGCCCTCTTGCTATGAACCCAATGAACTTTAACTGTTTTCATGCAAGAACTGGTAATATTTAAGAATTTGCTGGTGATCTAAATGTCATTGTATTCTTTATTGAGTTAGTACTTGGTACTTATTGACAAAGTAAACCATAAATATGACATTGTACCTTTTCCCCCCCTCTGAGCAGAAGAAGCATCTCTCCTGGATCTTCTTAAGTTTATGTATTGCAACTCACTGTCAATTACCCTACTGCCGTGCTAGATATGTTGATGGTTGCTGACAAATTCAAGGTTGCATCATGCATGAGATATTGTGGTCGATTGTTACGAAACCTACCAATGACCTGTGAATCGGCCTTACTGTATTTGGATCTTCCTACCATTTTAATGGCAGATACTGTCCAGCCACTGAAAGATGTAGCAAAGCAATTTCTTGCCTCAAGCTACAAGGATGTGACCAAGTGAGTGATGTCATTATCTACTATTTTAGATGATTGAGTATCTTGTTATCTGTATCAACAATGTCGGGTTTTTTCCCCGCTATGCATGAATGCATATGCAGTTTTTAATTTTTTCCTTCAAAACTTGTAGTTGTTGTATCAACTAATTTGCTCATTTTTTCCTCAGGTTCCAGGATGAGGTACTCAAGTTGCCTCTCGCTGGTATAGAGGCAATTTTTTCCAGTGATGATCTCCAGGTAGCTTCAGAGGATGCTGTTTATGACTTTTTGCTGAAGTGGGCTCGGACTCATTACCCAGAACTGGAAGAACGACGTGAAGTTCTCACTACACGCCTTGTCTGCCTAATCCGTTTTCCATATATGACCTGCAGAAAGCTGAAAAAAGTTTTAACTTGCAATGACTTTGATGTAGAAACTGTATCCAAGGTTGTGCTTGAAGCTCTGTTTTTCAAGGCTGAGACATCTTACTCACAGCGTGCTATCGCATCAGAGGCCGCCAATGTCAGTTTTAGTCACTATGTGGAGCGGGCTTACAAGTACCGCCCGGTCAAGATTGTAGAGTTTGAACAGCCAAGACAGCAGTGCGTTGTATACCTGGACCTGAAGCGCGAGGAGTGTGCACATCTGTTTCCGGCCGGTAAGGTTTATTCACAAGTGTTTCATCTCGGCGGACAAGGGTTCTTCTTTTCCGCACATTGCAATATGGACCAGCAAAGCTCGTTCCACTCCTTTAGACTATTTTTAGGAATGCAAGAAAGGGGATCTGTTACTTTCACCGTCGACTACGAATTTGCAGCAAGGGCAAAACCAACAGAGGATTATGTAATTAAGTACAAAGGTAATTACAAATTCATGGGCGGAAAGGCCGTCGGCTATCGTAACCTGTTTGGTATACCGTGGACACTATTCATGTCGGAAGAGAGCAATTACTTTATAAATGGCGTTCTCCATATCAGGGCCGAACTAACTGTTAGACAATGAGATTGTGAGCTAGGTTTAATGAAGTATTATATGATCAGTCTTCTCTTATTTGGAATTTATAATATAAATTTGCTAAATGGTCTTCAACAGTTCAGCCCTTGGATTCAAATGTGGGATGGTTAACCAAATAAAGAAGCATATTTATCTTGCCCTTAAGCTAACCCTAATCTTCAACTTGCAAGGTTCCAAATTCCAATTAAAAATATGGCATTTTGAACGGGAAGCAAAAGTTTTTTCTGGTAAATACAAAATAGTATATGTTTAAAGATAACTATATATCATTTGACATTATATACTCATTCTCCTGATATTCTTGGGTTTCAAACTCGAGACGTCAAAAAATAATAATTTATTTATCACCAACCGAGACCTCGAAAAATAATAATAATTTCATCGAGATCTTTTGATTCGTGCAAATCACATTTTTGTTATTAGTTCTTATATTATGTATATATTTTAGGACTTAAAAAATATAAAGACTAAAATTGACCAAATTATGATATAAAAAATAAACTTTGAACCTATGCAAGGAAGTAGAAAATTCATCTTATGTGGCAGTTGACAGTGTAATGGGTAAATCACATCACATTATAATCCCAAATTTGAAAGTTTAGATTAAATTGATAATATATAAAGTTAATTAGTTAAAACAGGAAAACAGTAAAAATCAAGTGATGAAAAGAATAGTTTAACTTTTTTAAACATTTTCTCTCTCTCTCTATTTACTTTGTTTCAGCTATTTTCAGCGATTACCAATCAAAGACATTAGCCCAGGACAGGAGGATCTCTCAGCTACGTTTTCTCTCAATTTTCTCCAATTATTTCTGTAATTTTCTTATCCTTTTCTCTTTATCTTAGATTTTTACTTGTTTTTCGAGTTAGCTTCGTTGAGGAAGGCGATCCAGCTTTGATTGAAATTTTTGTTTGTTTGGTTTAGGATTTAGGTGATGGCTTCAAAGCGGATCTTGAAGGAGCTCAAGGATTTGCAAAAAGATCCTCCTACCTCTTGCAGCGCAGGTTCAATTTCTTCCTTTTTCTCCCCCCTCTTTCTAGCCTCGGTTTCGTATCTCTTGCTCGTTTGCTTATAATTTTTTTTATCTTTTATTTTATTTTATATTCATGACATGAGATAATTATTCCTGTATATCATGGATCTATACTTATCATTAGGGATATGTTTTTGACCACGATGGTTTCATTGAGTCAAACTGCAATATATTTATTTTCTATAGTTTTAGGTTCACATCATTGGATTCTATTTGACTCTAGATTGTTGAAGATTTTTTTGTATGTCTTATTAATTGATATACATATCCATGTTTTTTCGTTATTAGAGGTGAATT